TTTTTTTTTTTTTTTTGAGTTTTCCTTCACTGAGCTACAATTTTTGGTCAATGTTTTGGGTTGAAATGCCTTTTACTATACTTTGGATAGTGTTTCTTCGTTGTTGAAATGGTCTAGGTAATGGGATAATTGTTTCAACTTTAATTTGCTATTCCAAGATTGTTTGTGATTCTAAAAGTTTGCAAGTGTTTATTTTCTTCTATTGTTTATGTTTCTTTTTCTGAGTCAATTTCTTTTTTATATTGGCTTTGGGTTCAGGAGTTAAATCACAGTTGGATTATCTTCAACAAGGCTTGCCAGGTATACTTTCCTAATGAGCTGTTAGTACTTAACTTGTGAACTCAGCAACTGGTAGTTAGAAAAATTGGCTATCAGTATATATTCTTTTTAAGCATTACTTAAATGGAAATTGATGAACCTTTAAAATGTCCAGTGTGGTACAAATTGGATTTTGCGTTTATGATTTATAATTTATATATTTTTTTAGATGAATGGCTCAAGGACAAGAATTAAGATGCTATTTGTGATGATTTCTTAACAGAGTCCACTAAGTGGACCTTCCTCATGCTCACAAAGATTGAAAAATGAAAATAATGCAATGTTTATTGGTATGGCCAAACTCCAATGCCTTATTCATGTTACCAAAATGTCAAGACCAGCTTAATTATTTTGCCTCCTTTTAATGAGCCTTGCTATGAATCTAGAGTGGTGTTTTGCTGCTAGCAAGTTGTTGGTTTCTCTTATTAGAGTTTGTGCTTTCTTATGCTGTAATATGTAAATGTGAAAGAAATTGAGGAATTCGCAAGTTTACTAAATTTTAGAATGATTCTTTCTGAGGAGTGGTTCATTCATTGACATCCAACTTTACAGACTTGACGAAATGATCTTATCCTAAAATGGGATGTTAGCTTTTGAGCAGTCGATTTGCCTTGTTCATCAGGTTATGATCAATTTGGAATATCAAGAAAAGGACCACAAGACGCTTTGGATGAACATTGCACGATCTTCTATGACAGAGAGAAGGTATCAACTATCGAGTTAAGGCATTTTACTTTATTCCCTCAATCTGGCATACTTTTCTCTTTTCTCCTTGTTCTTTATTCCCTGATATTGAAAAGTGATCTGGCATACCTTATTTATTTTTGTTATTTCGTAATGATTTTGTCCATTAATGTCCTTTTTCATGTTCTTCATCAATGAAATAAGGTGGAGTTTCTAGAAGGTGGAACGTTTTGGTTATCAGAATCACCTTCTGTTCCCGGAAGCATGTCATGGGGGGCTGCGGTTCCATGCATCGCAACGTGGGCGATATCCGCTATCATTTTTTATTTCTTTTACATGAATGGTCTTTTATATAGTCTTTTTATATTTTTGGATTGGAAGATCTCTACCTTTTGTTTCTTTAACATGATGTCCACACATTTCAACTAAAAGGAGTTGAGCCACCTGGGTTTTCATTCCAGATAGTTAATACCAACATGGATGAGTTTAGCCCTCGTGCTCGTAGACGGAGTGCTTTACTTACCTGGCAGCACATTGCTTCCTTGCCTCCTAGCTTGCCAGTTGTGTACTGTGGTGGATTTAACACACAAAAGGAATCAACTACTGGACGCTTCCTTCTTGGGAGATCAAGGTATATTGGGAACCTATTAATCTAGTTGGTGAATCTCAGTTTGCCAAATTTTCACCATGAAATTTTATTGCGTTCACATGTTGTGTTTTGAATCATCTACTTCTAGTACATCACTGTGTGCAAGGGGAGCGCGCCTGATTTGCAAATTGGTCCCCACTCAGACTTCATTTCTGACCCCTAGTTTTTGATAATCTGACTGTAGCGAGGTTAATTGTGGTTACATCCAACTATGTGCAAGAAGAGTTTTGAATGTCAGGAAAGTAAATTGAGGAAATGGTTGTCACCATAGAACTAGCCTTGTTAAAGACATTAATGCTTTGTCAATTTCTGGTTAAAAGTAGAAGTTGACTTCTGTTTTTACTTGGAGCTAAGAAAGCAATGTTTCCATTTTTTCTTTATCTGCGGGCATTTAGTTGAACCACTCTATTGGTTATCTCCTAAGCTGCAGCAACTTTATCCTTGCACTGAAAGTTTGCGTTCCCTGTACTTATAATTACCAAAAGACATTGGAGAGGACCTTTCACTTTAAGTTTGCAAAGTTTAAATTTTCACTCAATTCCATTGTTCTCCGTGTTTGTGACACGTTTTATTTTGTTTGAACTTTTGCAGCACATACTATGCTTTTTAATTCAGGAAGTTGGCCAGTTTTTTCTTCTAGTCGTTTTTTTGGTAAATATTTTCTTCTGCTTGTCCTCAGAGAGCACGGTGTGGTTGGGGATATGAGAGATGCATGGCCGAATGCCCGGGTGAGGAAAAATGTTTCTCTCATTCGCACTTATCATGGGTTTAAAGGTACCACATGTGCTCCTTTTGAAATTTCTTAACTTTGCATGATATAGCAATGGCTTAATTTAACAGTGTCCGTTGATGTCAGGAAACAAACAAGGAGCTCTTGAGTTTCTCAAGTTGATCTTTAGAGCCCTTTGTCTTTGCTGGGATCGCCAAACTCAAGATCTGCACATAGATTGGATTCTTTTCAGAGGTCGATCTCTGGTTCCCGTTTCTTGTGAAGTGATCAGCGACAACACTGACGGAGCTTACCCATCCTCCCATTATCCCCTGTTTGCCGAGTTTATGCTTCCTCGCACTGTGAGAATGATTGAACCGCCTGCTCAAGAGGAAAACTAAAAAATCCAATTGTTTTGGAGACCCTTTGGCTGTATCTCCCACATTCCTTTGCTATTATTCATTTAGTTTGTTATTCTTCTGATGTTGAGGGTTCACCAGAAAAGATTGTGGATATAATTTCATTTTGGGTGGTTGTATCTTTGTATTGTCTCCTTATTTTCAAGAATCAATAATTGAAGGAAATTTTCATTCACGTTTGTGATTTTAAACTTCTCATGATCTTTTATGGATTCCTTGCATTTAGACGTGAAAACTCCTGTTTTCCTTTTAGTCAATAAGTCTAGAGCCAACTTAAGAGTTCTGGTTTATACTTTTCACATTTTACCTAGTTTGAGGATCTAACCAGCTTCGTTTTTCTCGTTTCTTTTTCTCTGAAGGGTGCGTATATTGACACTACTCATTTCATTCTTATCACCCACATTTTTAAACCACCTCTCATCCTACGTTCCTCTTAAAATTTAAGAAAAGCCCCTACTACTAAATTATCCTCATTCTTCTTTTCACACACATTCATAAACCACCCTCATTTTAGTTTTTACACTCTTAAAATTTTAAGAAAGTCCCTACAACTAAATTACATTATTTTTCTTTTTTCTCGTTTCTTTTTCCTCGAAGCATGATAACCAAATGACAAAACACGATTCTAGCTGCTTTCACTCTCGTTCCCACCATTGGATCTCAGCCAATCAGTTTGATTGAAAATTGATGGATAATTTACAAAAGGACACTTTTAGGACTTAAGAAAATGACTGAGTTACTCTAGGCTCGTTTAGTTCGTTTATTCGAGTTTTTAATTCGAGTTAAAATATGATTTTATGTGAGATATATTTACTGTAATAAAAAAATTAAATGTGACAGTTTTTGAAAAATTTTTACTATAATAAAACTCAAATAAATTCGAATCGATAAAATGAACGGAACTTCTATATTTTTAAAAATATCCTGAACTAAAATTCGTCGTTTGATATATATGTATTCAAAAGTGGTGGTTAAACTCACCTTTGGTTTCCGCTTCCCAGAACGTGTTCCCAATTTACCAAACCGTCTCAAAATTAGTCATTTTGTCCATTTTAAAATCTCAAGGGAAAAAAGTAAAGCTTTCTTCTCAATCATTGCCCCCCAACATATAAAAGCACAAAATTTAACTCCTACTAGCTGGTTATCACATGTTCTTTTACATTGAGATTTTAATTGTAAGATGTATAAAATGACTGATTTAAGACAATTTCATATATCAGGAAATCGTTATGGGATGTTTTAAAAGACATACACATAATAGGATTTCCTATAGTTCAAAGATTAAAAATGATTAACCCTAAGAACCGGCTATCTATTAAAACGGGTGCACGCAAAGGCCCGGAAGGAAACCAGAACTAGCGAAACAAACCAGTAATCTGTTTTGCCTAGCTCTGATCAACCTGATGCAGAAAATATAAACTGCCAAACATAATTTGTTTTACCAAACAAATATGTTCAAACAGCATCAGATTTATACTCAAACCTGATACCGAAAAAATGAAACACTAGTGGCTGCTAGTGCTGAAAATTTGGGCCTTTTTTTTGTTTACTTGTTTCTGGCCTTTTTTTTTGTTTATTTGTTTTTGGTCTAAGCGGCCAAGCCCAACGGTAATATTACCGTTGGGCTGACTCACTACCGTGAGGCAGTGAGTCTGAAGTAGAGGGATGCAGGCCTGCAGCCCTCTGCTTTTTTTTGTTTTTTTTTGTTTTTTTTCCCCTAAAATCCCTTACTTTTATCTATAAATACCCCCTCCATTAATCTTTTTTTTTTCACACAACACAACTTTCACTCTCTATTCTCTTCTTATTCTCCAAATTTTCTCAACTCTCAATTCTCACTCACATTAATTCTCTCAATTTTGTTATTTCATTTTTGTTGAAAAAAAAATTTAGTGATTCTCTAATCTCTACTCTAGTCTCTACTTCAATTTTCAAGTCACAATTCCATTATCCATATCAAGTAATCAAGGTATTGATAAGTTTTAGAATTATAAATGTTTTAATTTTTTTATATCTAATTTATTGTGAATATTTATTTTTTAGTGTTAGCATGTATTAATATGTTTATTGTTGTTATTATTATTGTAGGAAAAAAAGTTTTGACCGTAAATTCTATAAGTAGAACTCAACACTTGAGAGATCACGGAATTAAAAGTGCTAGACTACATTAAGCCAGGACGGAGCCTACACAAACTCAACTTCAATTAAACCCGGATGGTTCGGTAAGTACTTGGTCCTATAATCCTCAAGTTGCTAGGGAATCTTTATGTTGATTTATTTCTACTTTAGATTTACCCATTAACCTTGGTGATAACCCACATTATGAAGCGCATATTCAACGTGCATATTGTCCTCAATTTCAAAAAGTTTCTAGAACTACTACTAGGAGTGATATGATTGCATACTATGAGAAAATGCGTCTTGCATTAATAGCTGAAATGGGTGCATTAAAATTTTTAATTGCATTAACCTCTGATATTTGGAGTGGTAGGGCGAATCAAGATTATTTGAGCGTAGTTGCACATTATTTAGACTCTAAATGGAATGCAAAAAAGAATTATTGGTTTTAGACTTATGAATAGTTCACATAATGCTGACAATATTGTTGAGAAACTTGTTAGTGTTATTCAAGATTTGGTATATGAGACCGCATTATCTCTATCACCTTATATAATGCTACAGCTAATGCAAGGGCGATGTTAATGGTGGAGGGACTTATAAACTCGTATAGTGGTGGAGTTTTACTTCATCAAAGGTGTGCATGCCATATAATTAACCTCATTGTCAAATCAGGTATGTGTATGGTAAGTTCTACAATTGATAATATTCGAAATGTCATTTCTTGGATTCATAATTCAAACCCTCACATTGCTAAGTTTAAGAGGTATTGTAAAGTAGAAGGTATGAAGCCTAGAAAGTTTGGTCTTGACATACCTGTTAGGTAGAATTCAACATATATGATGTTGAAGAGTACTTTGCCATATAAAAATATTATCACTATTTTTTCAATACAAAAATGGGCAAAACAATGTTGCAGGAAGATGACTAGTTTATTTGCGAACGATTTGTGTCTTTTTTGGAGGTTTTTTATGATTCTACTGTTTTATTTTCTAGTATTTATTATCCTACTTCTCCATAGTGTTGCATCAAAGTTGTGAGATTATAGACTTATTTGAAACGTATAGAAATGATATGTTACTTAAATCGATAGTAGAAAAAATGGAAGAAAAGTTTAGAAAATATTGTTTAGCTATTATTTTGGATCCTAGAGTAAAATTATCCGGTCTTGGAAATGTTCTTTCTCATATCGGTGGCCAGTTGGACATAGATTATACTTCACAGGTTGTTAACACACGTGAGAAGTTGTTTGAGATTTATGCAATTTATGAGAACAAGTTTAGTAACTTGACAACTCAACAAACGCAACAAGATCAGCCGGCCCGCTCAAAAAAGAAGTTTTGGAATTTTATATCTTCTCATCGTGATGGCTCTAGTTCGTCATCAACTGCGACTCCGAGTGCCATGCCACCACCATCAACACCAACGACGACACAATATAAGGAGCTCAATAGATACCTTGAGACAAAATTCTCGGTGATAGATGGTGCTGATAATATGACAATTTCCAAATTTTGGCATGGTGGAGGCTACAAGGTGTAAGATTTCCAGTACTTTCAATATTAGCATGTGATATCTTGACTATTTCAGTATCAATGGTGTCTTCAGAATCTACCTTTAGCACAGCTGGGAGGATAATTGAAAAAAGAAGGACTTCGTTGACTCCAAAAATGGTTGAGGTGCTAATGTGTTTAAAAGATTCAGAAAATGCTTCTTTGCGAATGCAACACACAACGAAAGACAGAGATTTAATGGATCAATTTCAAAACTTATACATTGACGATGACGCTTCTGATGTCGGGAGTAGTGTAACAGGTAGTTAGATATTTTTGTTTTTTAAGTATATATAAATTGTAACTGTGAAAATAATACTATACTCTTTTTTCCTTACAAAGGTTTTATCCTAATGAGTTTTTCTTAGTAAGGTTTTTAACGAGGCAGTTATAATTGCATAAATAAAGTCTTATTCTATTAAAATTTTACAATATTCACTATTTATTAATTTCGTTATTTTTTTTAAAATTTTTATAAATCATGCTCGGACTGGTCCGAGCTGATTCGGGCCGGTCCGAGCTGATTCGGACCGGCCCGGCCAGCAATAGCCCCGCCCAGCCCTAAGCCCGTCGGGCCGGGCTAGGCCTATATAAAATTATTTAGAGCCGGGCCAGCCCGGCCCTAACTACCCTTTCGGGCCGCCGGGTCGGGCCGGGCTGGGCGGTTCGAATTTTCAGCTCTAGTGGCTGCCTATGATCAACAACAACTCAAGCCCCACATAATCTGTTTTGCCAAACAAACATGTTCAAACAACATTAGATTTATAAAGAATTTCCTTCCTTCTCATCAATTGTGGCAAAAGAAGCGCGTCAGATGATTAACTTGCAGATACCCTTTCCGTTTGACCATACGCGAGAGCTAACAACAGATTTCTTAAGTTTATATGAATCTTATGGCTACTTCTGTTCTAAAAAATAAAAATGAGGAACAAAAGTTATAATTCATTCATACAAACCATCATGAGATCATTAATCTGCCAAAAAAAAAAACCCAAAAGATTTCCTATGTGAATATGCAATGAATCTCGAGCTATTTTAGGATTGTTCTTTTAGAGTGTAACTTGAGTGTAATTTTTGAGTTGAATTTGAGTTATAACTTGAGTTGAAGTTAGAATTTGAATAAAGTTGAGTAAAATTGAATAAAGTTGAAACTTAAAAGAACGTAAACTTAAATAAAGTTAAAACTTGAGTTGTCTTTTTTTGAGTTTTATGGACAAAAGAACATGCTCGATTCCAGAGTACTAAAAACTAGGAACAAAAGTTCTAGTTCAACCACCATGAGATTACTAATCTGCGAAAAAACGCCCCTAAAGACAGAACTTTCAGAAGTCATGGCTACATCCTCATCCGTCTTGAGTTTGAGTTCCTTGTTCTTCATACAAAACAACCTTAGTCTCGGACACAGCTAAGAACTCAACTTCCACAGTTATAGCATCACGCACAAGATATCCATTCGAGGCCGCTTGGAGATCATTAGTGACATTAAGGGCAGTTTGGTAGTGCT